TTGAAAAGATTTGAATTAATAAAAAATAAATCAACAACATTCATTACAAACCATGGTGGGAAAATTAACGTTACAAAAAAAAGTTACTAATGTTGCAGACAGATGACAGATCACCGTACTCCAAAATGTAGAGGGTGAAAAGTTGAGAGACTGCCAAGGTCAAATTAAAATTTGCTGTAGCATGGGCCTAGACAGTGTTCTGGGGTTGCAAATTCAAATCCCACTCTAAAATTCTTTTATTGCCCAGAAGACGTGACTCAGTCAGAAAACTTGCTTCGAAAAGTCTAGAAAATCAAATCTTTAAGTGTACTTTAATCTCATTTCCTCCTTAACTTTTCCACATTAAATCATTCCTTTCCAACTAAAACTTAGTTTGGACTCATTCACTGTACATGTCAGTTTTAATAACCACAACAATATGACTAGACCACATGTAATGTGAATGCCTCACTGTGACATTACTGTAGAGGAAATACCATGTGGATTTTTTGTCTGTTGTGAGCTTCTGCAGTCTAAAATTAGCCGTGATTCACTCTCTCTGTCATTGATACCCTTGAAAGTGAGTGGATTCTTTTAAGAAAGCCCACGGACTTGTAGCATTCTTTCTGAGAACCTTAAAGACAACTTCGGTTGATCATCATAAATACAATCTGGTTTTTGTTTATAGTCTGTTTCTAAACTTGGTAGCTGAACAGCTGCAAATAGACTGGTTTGAATTTCCCAAGCAGGTTTCCCGGGCTCAAAATAGCAATCTATAAACAGCAAATCACAGCTCATTAGATCTGAACAAAGTAGAAACCTCTGAAAAAAACTGGGTGGGTCTAAAAATAAATGATAGGTGTATATAAATGCAAGGTATCACTAGCCACTATATCTGAATAATCAAACTAGATGTTTTCCAGGCCAATGGCTTTCCATCTAACAAAAGGCACTGCTGTAAACTACAACTGAAAACAAATTCAGGAAAGAGGTGTTTAATATTTCATGAGCATTTACTGGCCTGTAAGGAAGAGATACCTTTTTCAAAGCAAGTGTTTCGATTATTTATGGTGGCCCCGAAGGGACGTAAATATTCAAGACTAGTAATGAATATTTTCTGCAATGTTGTGACCTTATTTGTGACTAGTTGTGGTTATTTGTGCGGCATCATGATTTTTCCACAACTAGTCGTGAATAAATTTACGACAATTGAATAAATTCACAACTACATGTAATTGTCGTGAATGTTTCCCCAGTAACTTGAGGGGTTTGATATTTGCCCCACTGACAATGTCATCTAGTATCCAAAGCAAAAGCTTAATCATCATTATAGTCAGGGTCTTCAGCAGGGAGCCAGTCTAGGTTTGTGTTAGCATGAAGAGTCTGACCTGATAACCGATTTACAAAGGACCATACAGCAAGGATCAACGACGAAGCACATTTCTTGGATCAATGTCCTGCATCATGTGGCAAGTGTAACTTCCCACCATTTTGTAATAGCGCCATTTACACCCCAAGCTACTGGAAAAATATTCACAACTGGTCATGATATAATGCACATGATGAAAATATTCACAACTAATCAAAAAAAAAATCCACGACATCGCAAATATACTCACAAGTAGTCGTGAATGATTCATGATGTTGCACGAATACTCACAACTACTGTAATTGTGACTAAATTCATGACGTCGCACAAATAGACCTTTTCACTAATAAACTCATAATTATGCATGCGTGTACACAAATGGCCTTGGCAGCAAGGAGGGTGAGCAGGCCATCTAAAATGAACAGGAATCCTTTTCAATCATTTTTGGTATAAAATAGCACGAAAGGAGACCGGCTTAAGTATAGCAATCTCGTGCTCACAGGAAAAATTACGACTGTAAAATCTTTTTTACAGAGAACTAAAAATTCTGCTTAGATCAGAACCTAATAGCAAAAAAAAACATTTGAAACCCTGACCTTCCCTAACCACACAGAATTCAACACCAGTAAAGTGTGTGAGTTTGTGGTACTGGGTTCTGGTAGCTTATTATCTGGTGTTTAATTATTATATGTGTGAATGGGAAATGTGGGCCTGCACATACCCTGTTGCATTTTGACTGAATGGGTACTGTGGCACTCTCACTTTTTACCATCAAGAATTTCAAATAAGTACTGTATTTTAAAGATTATGTAATGATAGAAAGCTTCCCATTGAAATGTAAGTACGTTAGGTAGTATGCAAAATTATGTAATAATTACCATAAGAAGGACAATCTTCCTTGTTTCTGACCACAATGCAGCATGATGGTGTGCGAATTTGTTTGAATAGGTACTGCCTGTCCAAACTCTTTGTACTGTGCAATAGGCCGTCTGTACCCAGTCAAACAAAATTACACAGGTAAAGACCTGTTGGAGTTTGTGTGATTGGGTACTGTTGCAGCAGGAGTACTACTGTTGAAGTCTGTGGGATTGGGTACTGTGAGGTAAGGGTGTTTTTCCAAGGTGCTGAAGTCTGTGTGATTGGGGGAAGGTTAGGTCCAGCAACCTTTGGGCGGTTACGGTTTTAAATTTTAATAGGATTTCCTGAAGAAAAAACTGAACATTAAGACAGAAAACCTGAGAGAAAATGATCAAAACTGCCCCCCTGTACATTTTCAATGGCCTGCTAACACTTCTTGCCGCCAAGGCCTTTTGTGAGCATCCATGCATAATTATGAATTTATTAGTAAAAAGGTCTATATTTACAACTAGTTGTGAATTTTTATGTCCCTTCAGGGCCATCATAATTGTATGGATCATCTGGAACAATTATTCTTATGCTTTGTCTCCGCAAAAGTTTTACTCACCTGTACCACAAAGATTGTTCTGTACGGTGACCGAAGCAATACACAAATTGTTCAATTCAGTGTCAAATTCAATGACCAATGATATAAAAGTTACATATCATCTTTGAATAACATTTCAAAAAATTTCTTCTTGTAGGTCTGGGATCTGAAGAAGGCAGATCCTCTTCACTACCTCACTGCCAGAGGGTAAAACGGCAGTTCTTCCTGGGCTAAAATCAAGGTAAATGTGTCTGTAATTCCAGTGCCCAATTGTCATGAAATCTGTTAATAAATGAGTCAATTCAGTTTCAAAAAAAAGAACACATTCAGGAAAATTATCTTTCAAGAAAGGGTTGGAAAATTGGGGCTTGACAGACTTTGGAGAGAAAGCACCCCAGCCACAACTAAACCCCATCCATGTCAAATGGGTAATTTTACCACCTGTGATCAAGGGAAAAATACTCCCAAGTCAAATGGATGAGTTCCTGCTCAAACGGGGGGGGTACATGTATGTAATTCTCCTGCACATGTACATGTACCTTGCACATGTACCTTACACATGTACCATGACCAGTCCACGATACATGTCGAACCAAAAGCCAAAAACCACACCAAGGTGTGTGGTTTGGAGCAATTTGAGCCAAGGACACGGAGGGAAACTCATCCAATGGGGTTGGGTCTCTCTGGTCAGGCAAGTCCAGTTAAACCCTCTGGAGTATAAATAAACATGTAATGGGCCCTGCACTTCCTATGACTTGTCTCTTCTTTGGCCAAGGTGCAGTTAACAGGTGATCCTAGAAGAGTGGGCATTTGCAGAGGTAATGGGGAGACTGCTGTGGTCAGGGAATTGTTTATTTTATCAGGCAGGAGAAAGTGGCTCTCTGCAGAACGGCTCTCTGTGATTCACTATTTGTGGTCCCTAATGATGTGTCTGGGGGAACAGGGGTATTTCAATAATGATGCTGAGGGTGGGTTTATGGTATTGGTGTGGATTTACTGGTAAGTCTAGCCCACCTAGCCCAAGGACAAATTGAATGAGCTTTGCTGGATCTTGGCCCTACCATATTTCCAAGTGGTCCCAGTCTCGAGTTGCAGCATCAAGACACTATTGGCAATTCATTAGAAGCTAATTGCCAAATTTGTTGTCCCAATTAATTTGGCTAATCATTTTTGACAGGAGAATTGGGCAAATAACACAAGAATGTTAGCCTACAGCCACAAAATACTGAACTGTCATTAAGTAGAATGATCGAGAGGCCAAAAATAAAGGCAAAACTACTCTGAAATGTATGTTATTTGTTTGCGAGGTCCATGTGCATTCTGAGCCTTGCAAAACAGCTAAGTACCAATATGGGGCCAATAACATTCACACTACATGTATATGCTATTCTCCACAATGCAACTTGTAATAAAATAAGTTCCTTGTGTTAAACTGATTTACTTAGAATTTTCAATAATGTACAAATGAGAAATGAATATCTACTGCCATCCTGTCACCTCATGGATTACAAGAACATGACTGAGCTACATTTATTCTAACATTGAAGGCTTTCAATCAAACAGAACTCTATTATTAACTTTAAAAGCATGTGGTATGGGCACACAGTGCTGGAACCTGGACTAGTAAAAACCAGAACTCTTCTGACTGTCCTGACGTCATGGAGTTTTATTGAGTAGTTTGGCCACTCTTTTTGAAGGAAGTTTGCCACTGCATCCATAGAGCATTTCTTTTCACTTAAAGGCCAAGAGTGAAACACTGCCTTAAGAGTGCATGAACTTCCACTCATTTTAAATAGCCACTTTATCCTGCCAGGTTTACTCACCAGTTTTAGGGTTGATGTAAAAGTCAGAGCGTCCTCTTAGAACCTAAATCAATATTTTAACAGCTGCATGCAAGACCCCAACCTCACCATCTTGAAAGAAATCTTTAGGACCTTTTGCCCATGTCAAATGGTAGATTTGAAATTGAATCCCCCATTTCAAACAGGGGGATTCTCTAAAATTCCCTAATTGCATACTCCACCAATCATGTGCCCATAACTTTCAATCTCCGTTTCATTCATCTTCGGACCGTTTCAACTCTGTAACTTAGCATTGGTTGCACTTGCAGCCAGAGGCTTCCAATGCTCCCTCAAACAAGATTCTCACTTTGAACTATTCATAGGGAATCCCAGAGCCAATTACCTAGTGTCACTGATGTAAAATTACCTCTGCTGTAGGAAACCGAAAGAGGGGAAATGGGTGTGACCTTTGACCCAGGAGCCCTGAGGCAGGAGCCATTCACCTGGGGAGGCTGAGACCTGGGGCAGCTGGAAGGGATGTTGAGTTGTTCACTTGGCACTGTAACAAATGAGATATCTAGCTGTGGATCATTTGCACTGTTTTTTTTTTTTTGCACACCACACAGGTACATGTAGGCCTTGCTACCCTCCAACACGCTCTCTACATGAAGCAATTCTTCCTTGACTGTAATGGACTGGAATGTAAATTTCTACATATGTATATTGAAAAATCAATTCAAGTGGGAGAGCTCTCTAGCATTTAAGAAAATATGACCCAATCAACTGACCAGAACTCCCACACTCCAAAACTCCTCTTTCAACAAACACTGGAACTAAAAAGAAGTCTCATCAGAGGCAAAGGTTACGCAGAGGAAAAAGAAAAAATCATCACACTCTGGCAAAGAGCTACACACAATGCACACAGGTGGGGGAAGGGTTCTGCCTCTCTCTGATCGGACTACATAAATAGTTCCAGGGCACACTGGCTTTTACAAATGCTCTGAAGGTATCGGATTGATGTCCTATTAAAAGCCTTCTTTAAATGAGCTTTTTTTGGGGTCATCAGCTCGTCTCACAGCACATGTTCCAATTGAGAAGAGAGTGGGCCCCCAAGGCTTTTTGTGCTTTTCTTTAAATCTAAGTGGAGATTGGAAAGAGGTGTAGGGATTCTCAAGGAGGGGGCAAGTGTGCTGTGGGAAGTGCAAAAATGTACTCCTCGAATGTATTTTTGTGGAAGTTTGCATCAGTCTCCCCCCCCCTTAAAAAGTGCATAACTGCTTATCAAATTGTCTAACAGAAGCGAGTTTTAGCAGAGAGTATTGAGACGTTTCATCCCTGCTACTCTTATGGTGAAGGCACAGACATTAACCCCAGGGAGATCTATAAATTGCCACAGTCAGGGAATTTTGGGTTTTTTGTGATCTCCAGTACCACTCACTTGTCAGCATAGTTATCTATACTGCTACATCAAGGGCAAGAAACATATCAGCATACCAAAGATGACCTCTTTTCTCCCTTCTAAAAAAAGGAAAAAAATATCATGACAGTTGTATTGGCTGCAGCGAAAAGTGCAGCTTAACACCAGACTGAGAAATTGAAAGGAAAAACACTCTGAGCTCGTCTTTTTGTGGCTTTCAAACAGTCAAGCAAAGTTTGACAACTGATTACAAAAGGCTTTTGAGCCTTGACCCACCAGCAAAGTCAAACAAGAAATCACAATGGCATCAGACAGGACCAAAGCTCTGCCGTTTGACAGCTCCAAGGACATGAATAGCCCATCTATCAGAAACTCTGGAGCCGCCAATGGGCTTTGTGGAAATCCCCTAACAAAAGATTTTGGACAATTACTGTGCAAAAGTCCCTGAGCACATATCGCCCCATCTGGAATCACCTGGAACAGTTGGGGGAAAAAAAAGAAGTTGAGGGCTCAAAGCAGCTTCTTTTGGAAGGTAAATACATTATGGCAATCTCTTAGTTGTCACCTTTTGTTGTGCTTTGTTCTGGGAACAATAGGGTAAACAATAGCTGAGGTTGGGCACAAAGGCGTCTTATCACAGAAGCCAATGGAGTGGCTGGACAGGCTATTGCCAGCTTTTGTTGTCTGTTGTCCACTGGTTATTCAATCCATCCCATCAACCTATTGTTCACTGGGTGACAGCGTATAGCTGGGCGGTGTGCAATATATGGCAGTATTGTTGTGGGTTGAATCGTAGGAATTGTTGTGGGTAATATTAATCCCTCGGCTAACAAGTTCTTGTTGTCAGGGGTCATAATCTAGAGGAATATAGCTGTCCTTTGGTCAACATAACTGTGTGCTCTTTTGGTGTGAAGAGGTTTTCCAGGTTAATGATAAAGACAGGAAACAGAGGAACTGCACAAACACTTAGAGCAAACACATTCCATGGCTCACTGACTGTTTTCATCCGGATTTCTACGATGCAGTGAAGAAAGAGTTCAAATTCCAATCAGACACAAATCTGTATTTCAGTAAACCTCTTGAAAATTGCGTGAAAACTACCAAATCTGTTGAGAAAGTTGGACTTTAAGTTTGCCATTCCTCAAAGTTTTGAAAAGAAGCTGTGTTTGAAAAGAACCAGACAGAATCCTGTAAACCTGTACCCTTCACTTCAGGAATAAATTCTCAGAGAATTTCCTGCCTCCCATCCAAACAGAAAGGAACCATTTCTGTTTTACAGAGGAAACCCTGAAATTTCAATCCTAGAACATTGCATAAAGCATGAGCACGATTTTATTACAATTTTCAGACCAAGTACCTCAAGGCTATTTGTATTATTAAAACAAATCAGGCCTAGGATGGTTCCCAGCCTATTAAGTGCTTGCATGTAATTTGCTTCACTCAGAGTCATGGGGTTTTGTCCAAATTTTGACGACACTTTGTGTTTGGGGGAATACAGGCTGTTCTGTATAATATCCTCTGGTTAAACATGAAACTATTATTTAAAATTTCATTTTACCCACACTTCAGATGCTAACACAGACGCAATTTGCACATGTGAATAACATCATCATTCAGACGGGTATGATAAGAAACACAGAGTTTATAATGACATAAGAACCAGTTCATTACTGGCAGTTTACCACTGAAAATGTAAAAAATTGACAACCTACGATAAGTTTGGACAAATACCTGCAGCAAGATCCAACCTACATGTACAAAACAATATTTGTTAACCCTAGAAAAATGTCTTAAACTCGTGATAAACTCCTTTTGACCATCATGTATGCAGAATTTCTCCTTTCACAGGACTTGGTTGGGCAATTTTTATGGACCTTACGAAGGGCGCCCTCAACCAACCAGAAAATAGGGAAGGAATACACAGATCATGGGCAAATCTTGGAAACAGAGCCCCACATTTACATATTCTTGTAAACCTGATTTTGGGGGGGGGGGTAGGAAGGATAAAGAGGGGGTGATTTTTCTCTGATTTTCTTGAAGTGATTTCTGAGATTAACAGAAGTGATTTCTGAGATTAACAGAAGTGATTTCTGAGATTAACAGAAGTGATTTCTGAGGCTAACAACTCTGAGTACTTTTAAGCAAATTGCTAGCTTTCATTGCGTCTCTTCAATTTTTGTTTCAGTAACTCTTTTCCCCCCCTCCCCCCCAACAATTTTTTTTTTGGGGGGGGAGGGCGGTTTACAATGTCCAAGTGCACGAAGTGTAATCATTGCAAGAACCAGTAACGACCAGTATGATGGCAAAACTGACTTTCACAAGTTATTACACTTTTTTAGATCAACACATGAGAATGATACCGGTTAAGTTTAGGTTGCCTAGAAAATCCAATCCATTGGTCAGAATAAACAATTTGCAGACTACATGTATAGTAAAATTGATACAAGACACAAACCATGGAGCTGTGGTATTTTTCTCTTACCATTTTTCTCCTTCAAACTTCAACGATAAGATTTGGCCAAAGTGTAATCTTGTGACCCCTGGTAATGTCTCCCTTCTGAGAATGGAGAATTTTCTCCGGTTCTCTTATTTGGCTATTGTAGTAAAGATGTATACTATGTGATTGCAGGGATAACATTGGGGGTGGATGGAAAGGTAAAATGGGAACAGATCCAAGAACAAATTGGAGGATACTGTCTGAGAGACAATAGGGAGAAACTGAAATTCAAAGGGAACGGTTTGGTATTTTGTTCATACTGATGGAAATATGTAACTGTTAGCTACATGTAATTTGCATCATAGGAAGGCTAAAACAGTACGCAGCTTTGCACAAAATCGACATGTTCCATCATATTTCATATTTCAAATTGTCCCAAGTTTATGGGACTAGAAAAAAAGTGCAGAGCACCTTTTCCAACAAAATATATCACCATATCTATAACAATATCGTTGGTGTGGAACACAAACAGCTAACTATGGGGACTCGTAAAAAATGACAAATATTACAAACTAGGAGAAAAAACTTGACTTGACCTTGGCAAAAGAATTATCGGTGCCTGGACCAGCTTGTGACCTGCAATCTCTTTTTATTTAATAAAAAAAACCTTCCATCTTCACATCAGCAAATTTGCGATGCCTAGAATGTGGCTGCGTTTCTCCGTACCAATATGAAATCCATCATAATGTTTTGGTAGCCCTGCTGTGTTTACACAAATCGTACAATTTATGGCTGGCAAAATGCGAGTGGCTTCGCACCAAGGGTCCGAAACCAGTCATTAGAGGTGTTGCTGTTTACACTGGACAAAAATGTGTTGACACGAAATTGAATTGAGCAAATATTCTTCCCTTCTAAAGTGCTCCTTTTGAATTTTTCGATTCTTCTCCTTCTCTGAGACATTGCCTGTTGAGTTTATTAGCCCTATCAATCTTTGTCTGAGGACAGAAATGTAAACTGTGGGGGTGTGCAAAATGATTGTTCCTGAAATGTGGAGCTTTCTTTAGGTGCTAGGCTGAAAGTTGACCACTGACTGAATGGTCTAGACCAAACAAAAACTGGCACTAATGTGGCAGCCCAGGCTCTGTTGAGAGATGCTTCTCAACAAACACAACTTTTACAAGGTACACCTGCTGGCCCCTTACCTGTAACTCATGAATGGAAGGGGGCTGTCACCAAGAAGAAATTGTGAACTGGTGAACCTGAGGGCAGGGAAGGTTCTAAGAGGGTGCAAAAGACTCACGCCCCCTTCTTACCTGCCTGTCACCCCCGAGAAAAAATTGCAGTCACAGTAAAGCAGCTCTCCCTCAATGGCCTTTTTATGTATGTCGCAACCATGATTTACAAAAAAAGGCAATCTGAAAGTTTGCTTGGGATAAAAACACACCCAGAATAACCACATACAAGAAAAGGACAACTTAACAAGTCTATAGTTTAACTAACTAAAAGTAGAAGTTGATAAGTTGATGTTTTTAGAGCTCAATACTTTATAAAGACCCTCAAATTGGACATTTGATTTAATGATTCCATCTCAAGACACCTTATTAACTGGGAAGCCATTTTTATCTTGCTTCCTGAATCTATTATATTTAATGTAATCTGTTCAATGGGGTGACGCCAGACTATTTTGGGTTCCAAACCTCACTTT